GTATCAATGCAGACCGCCAATAAGCAAGCTGTTTTCAACTCATCCCTACTCTCGGACTTGCTTTGCCATCATTATTCCGTCGGCATATGGTGCGCTGGTTGGCTCGTTTAGGGATCGTCTCCCTCGCCTTACTTTTCGACAAACTGTCATGGTGATCATGTAGTTTCAAGTGGGAGCAAGCAGTTGCTATATTTACATTCTGTACTTGCGGCTCAACATCGCCTTGCTCCACGTCTGAAGGGATTTCCACCCTGGCATCACTGACGACGGTGAAGTCATCGGGTGACTACAGACGACGGTCCCGAAGTCGTTATCGCGGCTCGCGGAAGCGGACCAGCACTCGCTATTACACAAGTTTGTGAGGCGAGGCGGCCGTCACAGAGCAGTGACTGGCCAGTAGGCATTCAAGCGCACGTGTTTGAATGGCAGCAGGAACCGTAGAAGGACGTTCCCGCTCAGCATGACTGCATTGCGCCCACGCGGTGAGCAGAACACCCTTAGTTGTTTCCTCGTTTCGCGTTTGCCTACCTGCTACATTTCATCTAGATCTCGAATGTCAGACTTGAGCAATTGGGCTCGCTTAAATAATAAGCTGCAGACTATAACGCAGCTGAATAGGCCCTCTTCTATCACCCCCGCACTTCTCAGACGAGAGACTCCAAGACCCCTGTGAGAATCAGTGAGAGTCGAGATGCAGTGTAACGGAGCGTGTTCGCATTCAGTTGCTGTGATGGGCCGGTCGTCTTTGGAGTGTGTCTCTGATCGGTACAAATCCCTCCGCGAACATATGCAATGCCAGCAACTCCGATCCGCAATTGCATGACTGCATCAGGCTATGTTTCGTCAAGCCGGCTCTGTGTGGAGCCTTTTGTGCTGACGGTCATCCCGCCGATCCCTTGCAGGCTGGCAGCCACCGTCCGTAGTCAGAGACACAACTTACTCAGCTGGATGCCCGACCTCTTTCCGTACACAAACTCCGCTTGAGAATTATCTTTTCTACCACTACACCACTTGAGCTATGTTTCCTCGACGCAGTTCGTTGTCATGGAGAGACTGCGTCCTGGAGACGTGAGTCCGGCTGTATCATTGACGCCGGATGAGTACCGAGCGGCACATGATGTTTCGCCATTGTCACCACTGACCGAGGATGGGCTTTCCCCTCACCTTCGCCGCGATGCGAGCAGGCGCTGGCGGAGGGCGCTGGATGCCCACCAAAACGTATCCCCAGTGTCGTCCTTTCGGGTCCATCCATCTGTTCGCGGGCGCCAAGCGCGACCTATAGTCCCAGTGACGACTCAACTTTCTCCAATAGAGGACCGGGACCAGGATCCGCCACCGCGCAGTCGGTCACCTTGGTCCGAACCACTAGAGTTTGGACAGACTCCGCGGCTCGGACTGAATCAGACAGTATTGGAATCGCCAACCGAAGGGAGGAGGTCGAGCGATGGATCTTTTCGAGGAATTCCCTTTGACGATGTTGTGCGAGCCAAGACGATTCATGGCCCTCCAGCCAAAGCCGGCAATCCGTTGACGAGTTCACGGGCGTATTGGAATCCCATCTGGCTTCGAGATTATCTGTTGATAAGTCTTGCTGTCAGTTTTGCGACGGTCGCGATCGTCATTTTTGCCATTTACTTGGTTTCTTCCAGAAATCACGGCTTGGGGTCGGACTTGGGCTCTCAAAACTTGGTTCACGTCTGGAAATATATACCCAGCGCAGGTACTGTACATCTCAATCCGAAGATTGTCTTTTCATTGCTCGCTAACATGTCCTAGTCATCTTCCTCCTCTTTGCTTTATGGAGTCGCGTTGATTTTACCGCCAGACTTCTTCAGCCATGGGCTAACATGAAGAATGGTCCGGCGTCTGCCGAGAGATCCGTGTTTCTGGACTTGATAACGCCTATTTTGCCTGCTGCATTTGTTAGATCGTTCAAGACCGGAAGTCTGGTGCCAATTTTGACCATTTTGGGGGCCGCTATACTAAATGTCGTTGTGAGTGGCACGGAAATCCAACCGATCCAAAGTATACACTGATGTTGATCTCTCTAGGTAATATTTTCGACTGGGCTGCTGCAAGTCGAGAGAATCATCATCGTCAATGATGAGTTCAATCTTGTAAAGAGTGCGGCCATTGACGCCACATCTTGGGATCCCGGGGGACTTGATAACACAACAGCCGCCTTGTATGCCAATATTGCGACTGGAGGTCTGCCATGGCCAGACTTTGCTACCGAAAATGCTGCTTTCGAGCATTTTACACCGCAGAATGGCCATCTTGTTTCGAACATCTCAAGTTACTCGGGCATCGTCCGGGGCTTCTTCCCGACTCTGGACTGCGAGGAAGCAAGAGTAGAAAGAGCATACGGCAGCTCTGCCACTCGCTCAGTCAATTTTACCTTTGCTTCGGATTCCTGCCGCGTAGTGCTTCAACTACCACTGATCAACGACTTGAATACGACTGCATCGAAGAATTATATGGGCACAAATCGAATAATATCGTGCCCAGATGACACAAAACGGATGTTGTCGGTAGTAACAGTGGGCAGCGAAAAGATGGGTCTCCTTAATTCAAGGTATGTTTATCCGATTTATAGCACTGGCCTGAGTTCTAACATTGTATTCCAGTGCGCTGTTTTGCAACCCGAGCTATTTCGTTCAGAACGTGGAAGTGACGTTGAGGTCACCAAAATGGCAGCCTTCCATGAACGCGGACACAGTGACAGCGGGCACAGACCAAATTCAAGGACTTGATTCATTCGAGCTACTCGATCACATCTTGAGATCATCGTCGCTTGCGAACTTGACAACCTCAGCTCAACCTTCAAACATCACAGTTACGAACGACAATTTTATGCGACTGGCCTCGTTGACAACAGAAATACGCAGCACAAACTCTGTCGCCCTCGAGTCATTTCTCGATACTACTGTCTTCGCATCTCAACTTCAACGAGCGTATTCCGGGATGGCTTCATTGACCGCTAGCAAAAGCATGATGAGTGATAGCCAGGATGTAATCAGGGGAACCTCTACGACTTCGGAAGATCGAGTCCAAGTTTCGTTGGCAGCTACAGCTGTAGTCGTCACGCTGCTGCTGGTATGCCTGGGCCTCTCGATTGCGGTACTATTCCGTCGGCCACAAGAGGTTGTACCGAGGGACCCACGGAGCATCGGCGGCATCGCTCTCCTTCTCCAATGCAACGGAGAGCTGAGCCATTATTTCCGGTCCAACTTGGCACATTTGCGGCACAGCTTGTACCATGAGCGCTTCTTCACCCTGACACCCAAGACGTTCAGCTTTACCTTTGCCATCGTGCGCGAGGGCATGAATCCCGCGGCTCGGCCGGCGAGGACCATGTCGGCCGAAGACGGGTCGATGACGTGGTGGCAGCCCATGCCGCTCCGGGCTTGGAGTAGAATATCGGCCTTGGTCCTGTCGCTGGCTCTCATCGGGTCGCTCGAGGGCGTGCAGCAAGTATCGGATCGGTCCAACGGCATCGCGACGACAAAGGCACCGGGCGCGGCACAGTACGGCATGACTATTATCCCTGCCATGGTCATGCTCGGAGTCGCATCCCTCTACTCGCTGATCAACTTCAACACGGCTCTGATGGCACCATACCACGCCCTTTCGAAAGGCGCCACGTCCGACCGCAGCCTCTTCAGCCACGACCTGGGCCGCCTGCCCCTGGTGCAGCTGCTCACATCCCTCAAGCGGCGGCAACCCGCCACGGCATGCTCGGCGCTCTCCGCCCTACTCGCGCCGTGGCTCGTCATCGTGGTCGCGGGCCTCTACTCCACGTCCTCGGCTGGAGACAATCCCAGCGACGAGGAGGCGAGGATCGTGCAGAACCGCGGCCCCAAGATCGCGCTGCAGGTCCTGCTCGGCGTCATGGTGCTCTGCGCGGCCGCGTCGTGGCTGTCGATGCTGGGCGCCGGCGGCCTGCTGCCGCACAGCCCGGCGAGCATCGCGGGCGCCGCGGCCCTGCTGGCGGGCGGCGAGCTGTGGAAGGCGCAGGAAGAAGACCGCCGGCGGGCGCTGCTCGTGCCCGACGGGGCCGAGTGGATCGACGATGGCGAGCTCGCGCGCCTGGGCGTCTGGGAGAACTTGGTCTTTGGGCTGGGGTGGTGGCCCGACGGGCGGTATGGGATTGATGCTGGTGGGCGGATCGATCAGGAGAAACGGGGTTAGGGTTTTCTAGCGAGCTTTGATATTTTGATACTTTGGGATATTTGGATTTTTTTTTTTAAAATACCGGGTAAATTGTTGGGATTATTTTATCTAACTGTGATCAAAATCCATGGGGAGAAATTATACGCTCTGCTGACTGGTGTGTGATATTTGTAGTTGTGCAAAATTTCGTGACTCTCATGGAAGGTGTTTCGAGTTTATGTTGCATGTTCGCATTTACCATAGCATACACACAGGACATACGAGAACACGTCGACTGAATATATACTATTGTCCAAGGACCAGCAACGGGATTAGCGACGGGATACAGCAATGATATTGTGGATTGTGAATTTGCAATATCACAATAAAACAGTTGTCTCTTTGAAGAAAACAGCCAAGAAGAAAAGTTATACCTTGCTCTGAGAGACCATCTCAACGGAGTGATAAACCATGATTCACAAGCATGCACTCCTTCGAACAAGATGTATATACTTTTTTCCCGTGTTGTTGCCCGGCCCTAGGTAGAAGAAGGTTATCCGGCCATACTTTGTTCAGTATAATCGTTTTATGCGATTAATAAAAGTTCAACGACAAAATCAGGTTTTTTTTTTTTTTCCAACAGCAACTATTCGTACCCAACACACGAGTAAGTTTGCACACGATCTCCCTACTTATCGTCACCAAAAGCCAACCCACAAAGACACTCGACACCCACCTCTCTACTTCCCTCCCTCCTTATGCCACACACTCGACCACCCATCCTGGCACAGACTTTGAGGAAGGTATTGAGTACGCCGATAAGCGGCCAGATCGTCAACAATTCAATTGCTCGGCTAGCTCAGTTGGTTAGAGCGTCGTACTAATATTCTTCCCGCAAGGAAAATATCAAGTTATGCGAAGGTCCTCAGTTCAATCCTGTGGCTGAGCAATCTTTTTGCATTTTTTCTCTTTCTATCTCCAATTTGATCTTTTCTTTCTTTTTATGGAAACCATGAAAATCTCCGTTTATAATTCGTTTTATTTGGTCAACCTCCTTTTTGCCGGAAACGAATTATTTGGGTTTTGCAGTTTATAAATATTGTATATGATTGACTTGGATGTTATTTGGTGACTTTTGTAAGAATTGCGCAACCGAGTTTCTACTGATTACATATTACCGACTCACCGTTGCTGTCCCTGGCCAAAGAGGCCGACTTCAGGTATATAAATGCCGTATTGTAAGAGTCATAGGATATGAAAACAACTCGGTACAAGCATCTGCGTGAACAGAACGGCACCATAATGAGAGTACTGTCCGCTGCCCGGTAGAACCATCGCATCCATTGCGGCTTCTCGTGGCTGAACGTCTCGTTCGAATAGGTCGAGATCCAGGTACAGCCTTGCAACATGGCATATGGCATGTCCTTCTCGTCATGTAACATCTACAGAGATGTGGCATACTCCGCACGATACAGTCACAGACTTGATGTGCTCTGCAACATGGATGGGCTGTGTGCGTATAATAATTGCCAGCTGGTGCCATGAGCTTGCCGCCTCATATGCATCGACGACGGCATCATGCCGGATCGCTCTTGTCATATATGGGTATCATCTTCACCACTGCTCAGAGGAACACGCGGCTGCGCTTGCTCGGGCATTATGGTGATTTAGAGGGCTTCGCGCAGAGTACTCGCTTCGTCTTTGATCGGTTGTTGGGCGGAATCTGGATAGATTTGCTCGTCGGCACGGGGCGGAGGTATTCGTGAACGCTCGGGGGAGAAGATCTAGAGGCGTGAGCACAACACGGGCGGTTCCATGAGCTATTCGAGCACATGATTGCCTCTTGAGGGACTGGGCAGTCTTGCTGCGGCAGCAACTACGCAAGCCTACCTCGACTGGCAAAATGATTTGTCCTCGACGGGGCGACCTTGTCAAGGAGAAGAACAAGTCGACCACGTACTTGCCAAAGCAGTGCGATGAGATGGTTGCGCGAGCTGAAATGACCTACCTTTGAGGCGCGCTCACAGCTTGCAGGACGTCTACACGTGTAAGTAGCTTGAACAAACCCTCGTCGGGCTGCAAGGGTAGCTGCTGCGCATGACGACAACCCAGAGGAGAGGAATAAAATCTTCTCGACGTTGCATTGCATGACATTGGCATTGGCTTGAGCGTTGCTGTGTCTGGACGGTACGCGCATTGCATCGCAGCAGCGCGCAAGCAAGCAACGCGCACTGCTCACAAGCAGCAGTATCTTGGTCGAGAACGCCACGTGACGCCGTATCGGCAATCGTTGACAGCGACCTGAAAGAGGTAGACGAAGTTGGAATTCGTCGTCGAGAAGTCGAGTTGGCACGAGTGCCCTTCTTGAATCGGATCGTTTTGGGGAAAGGCCGGGGGCTATTTCCTGTCGTTCCCGTCATTCTGTCAGGTTGCAGCAGAGGATTTGGTAATCTTTTTTTCATGCCGGGCCCGGCGCAAAGGGGGTACCGGAAATAGCCAAGCCCCAACCAAGCCAGAATGAGACACCATCTTGCGCACCAAATGCGCAGCGCCAGGGGACGCCAATGCAGTTGGAGTCGCATATTCGATTGAAGCCGTTTCTTTTGGCGACTCTTGTGCTGCAAGGAACCAAGTAGGTAGTCAAGGAACCGAGAGAAGGCATTTTGATCGAGCTCAGCGCGGGCTCGAGTGCATTTTCATAGCATCCTGGGACTCAAGTATCAAGGGCTTGATATGCGCCAGCTTGACTCGGCCTTCTGGAAGCTCGGCGAGGTACAGAGGTCCGACTCGAATAGGTATCAAATTTGGAGGTGGTTGAGGGCGGCATAAAAAAAAGAGAGACGGCTCGGTGGTCGATTTTCCATGGTTGAGAGGACAGCAAGGTGCAATATGACAGCTCGCCAAAAAGTTTGAGTGAGAGTGTTGTGTAAGACGGGACTGGGATAAGGTAGGCGATAGGTGACTGTTGCTTCTTTGTCGGGTTACACAGCATGCTCGGAGTGCTGTGCGCCCGCCAATTTGGGTCCTTGAGGCTCTAAAAGAAGAGACTCCCAGCTCCCGTCCGACCTGCCGGCATTAGCGATGACGTTCCCATTGGCCGAAATCTCTTCTAGAGCCGACCCGCTTTCATTTCCTCTGTCTTTTGGGTTTTGGGGCAACGACGAGAGGGAATCGAACCTGGGAGATCCCCTATTTTAATTCTCTCACTCGTCTCGAATGCATACACAGATCTATCCGTCAGTGGTATCTTTCGGGACCTGGTTGTTGACTTGTCTATACTCTGTACTGCCCCGTGCGCTCGCTACACAGTGTGGACTCTCAACAAGGCTGCTCAGTGCTAGTCGAGTTTCACGTTTTGTATGGTTCCAACATCAACATGCTCGAGCATTCATTGAATTACCAGGCCGCGCCTTGGACGAAAGCCTTGTCTGGCTGCTCAGAGGCCTGTCATACTGCCGTCGTACTGAGAAGCTTATCAAGGCCGGAGCAAAAGTTTTTTCCTTGCTGCTCGAATCCTACCGCGTCGAGTAAGCTGACTTCAGCACCTGGCGACGAGATTGGATGGTTTGGTAATGGTCGAGTCCTGTGAGATACTTTGACCAAGTCCTTCAGCCTTTCTCCTTGGGTTCTTTCCTCAAATCACTCATCTTGTGCCTCCGTTTCCGGATTCTTTCCAAGTCGCAACCATGGGTATCCAGCACTTGCCTGGTCAACGTACAGCAAACGGTGCAACCCATTATCTAGTACGAACACAACCAGCCGCCAAGTGGGGGCTTCTTTGTGGGGGTCGACTATGTAGGTATTGCCTTTCTGTCTATTCTTCTTCCGTTTCTTGATTCATGTCGCCGTGAAGTTTGGCAAACTCAATTTGTTCAAGTAGGTGCAGACCAGAAGAACTCAATGCAAGCTGTAATGGATGGTCGCATACTTTCTCCAATGCGCACGTTGGAAAGACGCAAGAGCCCGTTACCTGGTGCATGTAGTCATGAATCAAGTAGTGTGCCACACCTACCTAGATACATACCGTCAGCGGAAAGAAGAAGAAAAAGGCCTCAGACTTTCCAGTTGAATGTCGAAACGGGGTCCGTCGAATTGTAGACAGAATAGAGAGCACAGTGGACAATGGCAGAGAGCCGTGGCCCACCCGACATGACCCGAGCCACCCTGTCGCCTTGCGCAACCACCAAAATGCCTGGCCGCCCTTGTCTCTTTTGGGTAGCTCCAGCAAATTTTCTCACGAGCTTTGATCTTCTCTTGATCCACACAGTAGTCGACGCCATCGTTTGTTCACCCATCTCCTGGTTGATCCAACCTCTGATTGTCCGTCTGCCCAGCTGCGAGCACTCGCACTACACCCAGAACCGGCTGTCTCTCGTGTCCACCTGTCCCTTCGTTTTTCCGAGCTCTCCCTTCCCTACCTACTTTCCAAGCTCTTTTCCCCAGATCACACAGCTTTCCTGACTTCCCATCCATCAATCTCAAAGCCAATTCCATCCACACCTCTCCCCTCAAACCATCCACAACCATCACAATGGCCGCCGTCCGTGTTGCTGCTTCCCGCCTGGCCTCGTCCATGGCCACCAAGGCTGCCCGCCCTGCCATGCGCGTCCAGGCTCCCGTTGTCGCCAAGCGCACCATCACCAGTATGTGAAAACCCGCTCACCGATCTCGAAAAACTTTTTCTACCATCGGACCTCAATGGATTCCATCGAGAACTGAATGAATCTCAATGGCCCCCGACAATGGCTAATCGAATCTCTCTTTGCAGGCAACGCTTTCCAGACCGTCAAGCGCCAGCAGGCTTCCCAGATCGTCAACGCCACCACCCGCCAGGCTTTCCAGAAGCGTGCCTACTCCTCTGAGATCGCTCAGGCCATGGTCGAGGTCTCCAAGAACTTGGGTATGGGTTCCGCCGCCATCGGTCTGACTGGTGCCGGTATCGGTATCGGTCTCGTCTTCTCTGCCCTCCTGACCTCGGTTGCCCGCAACCCTGCCCTCCGTGGACAGCTGTTCTCTTACGCCATTCTGGGTTTCGCTTTCGTCGAGGCCATCGGTCTTTTCGACCTCATGGTTGCCCTCATGGCCAAGTTCGTACGTCACTCCCGAATCAAGAAAAATACCGCACTTTTTGATAAGAGATTCAACTCTAACCGGATACACAGACCTAAGCGGCTTACTCCCCACTTGCGGAGGCTGGGCTCACACAATGCTCTCGACTGTGTGAAACGCGACCGAGTCGCGATGGATCGTGGCCTGACGTCGCGGTTCGTCCTGTGTTCAATTGGGAATCCAGCATAGACGATAGAGGTATAGATTGGGGATGCAGGGGCTTTAGATGGAAGGCTTGCATAGCAATGGATCTTTGTAGACAAGTACCGGAGGTGGACACTTGCCAAAAGTCTTTCGGGACCTGTAAAATATAAACCATCATCTTCCCAGTTTCGTCCTTCTGGAATCGGACTCCAATGGATATGGAAATTCCCTTTGTTGCTTCAACAAGATCTCTCTCCACTCGAGCTGTTTGAACTGTGATTGATGACTTCATCTGACTTGCAATGCCTGAATATGCCCAATTGACTTCAATTGGCCAGTCACATTCGATATCCATCGATCAACGGACCTGGCCAGTGCTCGCGAGGCCTTGCCAGCTGAGCTACTATCCGTATCGCGACTTCACGATCTCGCGTTTGCTGCAAGGCCCAGCAACAGGCTGGATGAGGGCTTTTTCTGCTCGGACCCACTTCTGTCCAAATACCCTCGGCGACTGCCCAGTGTTGTCCGCATTCCCGTTCACAGTGTCCACCCATTGCCCAAACCCCCACTAGTCTTGTTGTGACCCCATCGTGTCGTCTCCTGTCCCAATCAGAGCGTCCGCTTGGAAGCTCATGGAGTTGAGACAGTCATGATACTAAACCTGAAAAAGAAAGATGGGTCATGGAGAGATAAAGC